TTGGAAGGTAACAAATACGCAGTTTCCCATCTAAAGAAGTTTCGGAACTTGTGCTTCAAGCCATCTTCACAAGATCTTAATAGCTGAAGCGCATTGTCAAATTGATGGAAGAAATCACGTGACAGGCATTTATGTCTACCCTGCTAACGCTTTTTTTGCTATAATTCGGGGTAGTCAGCACATCTACTAAATTTGTCCCATTTGTTTCGAGTTTGGAGAATTAAAAATGGGAGAACTAGTCTTTAATTTTACAAAGTCTGGGCACTGCGTTACTACAGCAAATTAATAAATAAATAAAAATAATAAAAGTTACATAATTAATGTTTATAGCTGTATACAAATACTTAATTATTAAAAAAGGTAGGCTTATGCTACCATTATTTACAAATACAAGCTAAAATTAATTGTATACTTTTCGGTTATATGTTTAGGGACTGAACATATATATACGCTTAATCTTTCTCACGCAACAATTTTTTAATCATATCTAGTTACCCTTCACCCCCCCAAAAAAAAACTATACCACGCAAGACGTTTAACAAATTTTAGTTTAGTAAGCGAACTGAAAAATTATGTAAATATTTTTAATAAGATATAAAACCTCGGATATTGCTCGTATTTTCATTTACAAACAGGAAAATAAGACTAGATCATTCTTTTGTAATCAGAGGAGTGAAACATACATCTCAAATTTCTTAAAATATTATTAATAATTGAAGGAAAAAGGATTAGCTTAAGTTCGAACTTTACAGATCGAAACAGTAGAATACCTTTTTGTTACACTAATGTATTTTCATAAGTACGAAATTTAATTTTCTATTTGACATACTTCACAGAATTCAGTTCTGTGGATTATAATGCTTTTGACAGACCCTGAAGAGAATGTTAAGATTCTATTGTTAATACATAAGAGAGTGCTCGAGATTTTGAAAACGCTATGCATAATATTATTTTAATATGCAATGTGATCCAAGTGTAAATTTCTCGGATTTGTTGATAAAAGCAAGAGCCGTAACACACAGTGTCCATTATTCTTTCAACATATATCAGCATACAGCAAATTATAGATTCTAATAGTTTATTTTCGTATTTTCTGATAATGATTCTGATTCTACACTTACATCGTGTAGTATTCTTATGCTATTTATATTCTTGATATTGTATGATTTGATTTCACAATTTTCAGATTTTTGATATTGTGTAGTATTTTATCGGATTCAAGGTTCAGCAGTCTACTTACAAAAATGAAGAACAATATTTTGTTCACATTGCATATGAAATGTACAGCATATGAAATGTACATTTTAAATTTTTTCTAGAATTAAAATTAAGTAAGGCGAAAAAATTCTGAACTGTCCCATGAGATTTAGTACAGAATATGCTACATCAGTACTAAGATGTTAGACCTGACTTAAATAAAAAGGATAAACAAAAATTTGGTAATTATATACACATCACCCTCTAATTAATTCTATTTTATACAGCATTTAACTAATTTCATATAACTAACATTTGGAGTGTAGCAATTAATTTCCTACATAGAATACTGAATCTTGAAATAAAATAATGACAGGAATACTGCTGATATTTAAAGCGCAACTTTTAAAATACCGAAATGTACTTTTAACCAAAAACAAAACTCCCGTTACTTTCAAAAACGAATCACGTTTTTCAATAATTACTAAAGCTTTTATTCTGAGGTGCACTGCAAAATTAAAAAAACTCCGCGCACTGTACAGAAAAGAGTAAAAACACTAAATTATATTAAAATAATTAGTCCCCCCCAAAATGTAGTTTTGAATAAAATGTCAGAGGGATATGCAGACACCAAGACATCACCAATAATTCTGTATTTTAGAAGTTCTGCTCCTGAAACTATATTAAAGTACTGAAAAATTCCAAATTACGAAGTTCTGCTTATAACAAAAAAGTGTAATATCTATTATTTGCTTCCTGCTCAGTTACTGCGAGCGATAAATGCCACATAATCCCAAAATTTCGGAACAAGATATACTGAACCTTTTAATTCCATGAAGAAGAGCATATTAAATGCATATTTTATTTGAGAAATCAAGCATTTTATTTGGAATCAAAAAGTGAAACTTTTTTTTATTAAAAGGTCTCGATAATTCTAAATTAAAGCGTGCTGAAAACCTTTTAATTATAATAGTTTAACAATAATTTAAAAACTAAATTTTTCAGCACTTCTAAATTCTAATTCATTATTATCAGGATCTCATCACTCTGTAAATCACGTTTAATCACAAACATAAATCAGATAGTTTAGAAAAATGATGCAGTTACTTTCTATGAAGTAATCGTTAATATGATATGAAAGAATCGTTCTTTGCCGTCATAATGTACTAGTTTTAAAATAAATACTCCCACATTTATACATTGTTAATCTAAATTCACGTTATACAGAAATCGCAAGCTACGCAACATGGTTTGCAGTATTAAAATTCATAAGCTAATCCTTGAGCTTAATGCTTTAAGCAACATTATAAGTAAGTGTTAACGATTTTTGAGTCCATGACATGTAAACTAAGAGATGTACGACAGTAGCGATTGAATAATCACATAATACTCCTTAAGATTATAATTTCAATTCCCCCCCCGACTGATAAGGTCATTGAGCATCCGTGTTAATGTGACATCTAGATTTTTACTAATTATTATTTACCTTATTTTATTACTTTGTCATTTATTTACTTAAACTATGTATTTTTTCTGCAGAGTTTGTTAAGCGTCCAACACTAGCATAATAACTCGTAAATCATCTTACAAGTTCAGAACTTGTTCTTAAAAAAATCGAAACTTTCGTAACATTCGTTATGAAGCTCCACGATGTGCGATCTAAGAAACTCAGTTTTAGGATATGACTTGCACCTACCATAGGTTCAAAATTTCAAATTACTTTGAAATTCAAATTACATCCAAATTTCTTCTTGTTAAATAATTAATACTTCTCTTTTTTGAAAGAACTATTGTTTTGAATTGTGAAATTTGCATTTGTTCGGCCATTGAAGTGCATTTGTTTACTACACTTAGTCTTATGAAACCTATCATCACAAAATATAAATTTCTGCTAAATAAAAAAGTTCTCTTTCTATTTGAAATTGAAAAAGAATATTTATTCTTAGTATAACAAACAGAAGTAGCATTTTAAATTAATTTTTGGGATTTAAATATCATAAGACGTAGATAATACATCTGTTGCAGCGTCAAATATGGCATAGCAAAATTGCATGCTATTACCAACATCCAACTGCTATAGTTCTAAATGTTTAAGCTTAACGCTCTTAAAAAACTGCTTTTTTATCCTTCTTTTAGTATCTTACAGACAATTTTTGAAAAAAATAGTACTGGTTGGAGAAATCCATTTGGAATCGTAACTAATTTTACAAAACTTCTACAATGAATTCTTTAAAAGAATAAATAAATTGTAATATTCTTTGCTACACTATAACCAAAATATTCATTTGAAGCACTGTAGAAGAAAGCGAGAAAATTTTAATCAGGAGAATTGAGGCGCACAATATTTTGCATATTCTTCACCTAAAATTTCATATTTTTTCCTGAAAATGCAACAGACTCGATTCTCACAAATATTTTACCATTCTGTCAAATCTGAATACGCATTTTAACTTCATTAAAATTACTTTAACTCGATGTGGTTTAATTTCGTCGCAAAGCTTCAAAGTAGAATAAAAAAGTACATCCGAGGCATACTTATAAAATGAAGCATGAAACTAATATTACTTTTAAGCAATGTATAATAAGAATGCTGTTTCGTTTTGTATTTTATGGAGAATTTCTCTGTTTCATCTTCAAAAGCCGCTGATTTACTCTCCTCAAGAAGCCAAAGTCGCAACTAACTATTCAATAAGACAGCAGAAGGAAAAAACATTCAAATTTTGTACGTTTCCGACATTTTGTAAATTTGAAATAATCTACATCTAATTTTTTGAGGTAGATGCTAAACTGTAATCCAATGTTTAATTTTTCAAAAAGCTGCTAATATTAAATAGTAGAAATCCGTATACTAACTGGTCTTCCAACTGAAAAACCCTCGTAACAAATCCTAGTCCTTATATATAAAATTCTTACAGGATATATAGAAAGTGATCTATAACAAATCGCAAAATGATAACTAAAAGCTGATTTTTTTTGGGGGGGAGGGGACTTTAGTTTCAGCATGATTTTTAAGGAACGTATGAACGCATTAGCGTTAAACGTTTACCCATTTCTAGATGGTGGAAAATACTAATATCTACTACTAGAAATGGACTCCTATTTTATAATACTTATCTACAATTCGTCCTACAACAAACAGGGACTTTGTCTCATGTTTAAAATAATTTAATAATTAGCATTTGACTTACAAAATCAGTTATAGCAATACAAAGCTGACCTGTTTTAACCGAAATCAAATCATTTAACTAAGGCATTTCAATAATCGAATTTTGACAAGAGAAAAAATTCTAATATGAAGTAGTAATTTTTATTTATGGTAAAGATAAATTTAAATTTTGAAGCCAAAGCACTCGAGGGCTATCTGTCTAATGGAAGAGACGCCTTCGTGGAAAACTTTCTAAGGGAACTGGCTCGTATACACAGTACACATGCGGAAAACTACAAAAATGGCCATACCGGACGGAACAACCAGTGCTCAGCGACTTTACCGTTCGGCGCTAGTGGGCCGAATCATAAAAATAATACAGTTATAAAGCTTAGAGGATTTTCATAGAAGGGTATCTAAAGTATCTGTTAGCATCTCATAAGAACTATTGCGTAGCTTTGTATTCTTTTTCTATTATAAATAATATACTGAAATGGAAAACGGAAATCATGTACCCTTTTCAAAGGGAAAGTACCTCCTTTATTTAATCTATGTATAGATTTTTATAACATATTCACCATTTCATATTTTATAATTATGCATAATTATTTATGCTTTAAACATCATGAATAGTTTTTAATGAACTTTATTATTAAAGCACATTTATCGGAAGAGGAGGAAGCAAATCTGAAAAACTGAATCTAGAAGATGAATAAAGTACACTTAAGCATTCTGAAGACAACTGAGGTAAAAGAATTTAATATTTTTTATAAGTGTAATAAATAGTAAATGTGTTAATAGTAATAGTGTAACAAAATAATAATGTTATGATAAATAATTTACACACAAACTGCCAAGCCTATTAGGTATCAGGTAATTTACGAATAACGCTGCAAGTTATCACATTATTCACTACATCACCTATTACGAAATGTTGCAAAATGATTTAATAACTTTTTGTATAGTATTTCTTTTTTTGTCAAGCATATATTGCAAATTGTGAGTTCTAAGCGTATATCCATCCCTCAACTATGCAAGTGTCCATTCAGTGTAACACTCTTCATATTTCAAAGCTAAATATGTTTAAAAGGTTTTCCCCAAATTCCTTTAAATCCGATAAAAAGTAATCTGCGCTCAAACAATGGATGCGTGTTTTACTTTAACGATGTCTTGAAAGAAAGCTGAAAAAATATGAAATTTTCTCCCTATTTTCAGCATGCCTTCTTGGTGTTACGGTAGCATACTCGGCGCATAATTAAGAGATCCAGGTTCGAACCCCGGCGAGCGCAGTGCATATATTTCACATCTCCTGCTTTAAAAAAAAAAAAAAAAAAATGACGCTACAGTGGCACCCGACCTAAAAGGTGGTGAACGATAATTCGTCACCATCAGAATATCAGACTGGCTCCCCAGTCGCCCTTTAAAATTGGGAGTATAAAAGTTATTTTTGCTTTTCTTTCGAGCATTCCTTCGTGGTGTAGCGGTAGCACGCTTGGCGCGTATTCGAGAGATCCAGATTCGAGTCCCGACGAGGCTACTGCTCATTTTTCACGTGTCCCGGGGAAAAAAAGAACCTTAACAACTCTACAACCCGAAAAAGAAATTTTCAAAAAATTCTGCTTATGTCGGAACATAAGGCCAACTAATCTTTGCAATTATCCGTTAAACGTAAACCTTACTTTATTATCAAATAATGCTTCAATTTTCAATCATAAAAAGATTTTAAAACCAGAAATTTAAAATGTTCCGGTCAGAGATTTAAGAAAATATTTCACAGTGACGCAAAGCTTTTCTAAAGAATGTAGATAATCAATCACAAGTTAAAAACGAGATTAATCACAAATTGGGGGTGGGGTCAAATATGGAAAGAAGAAAATGATTCTGATTTCATTCTAAATAAACTGATTTGATAAATAAAATTTACCAAGTAAAGGCGTTGAAATATAACTTCTCCGAATAAAATTTGGCTACTGGAGACAAGTATCACAATAAAATCATAAATATACATCCGCTTTAAATCATAAAATATATCCGTGAGTTATTTATTTGGAAATATAGGAAATTAAATTGGGCAGTAAACCATAACATTAAACATCGAACATTGGGACTGAACTGAGATCTATCAAGCTAATCAACTGTGAGAAGGATTTTTAAAGAATGGCATATCAAATCTAATGTGCGCAAACCGATTATTTAGTTACATAAACTTAACTGGTACGAGTTGATTATCCGTCTCAGACTTTTTAAAAAGGCTTTTCGCATTATAGTATTTTTAATTTTCCTGCACTAAGATCAAAAGAGAAGCTTTCTGAAAAGTTTCTAAACTTTCGTTTAGGATAAAAGGCGGCAGACGTTTAGTTGCGTAGGAGGCTAATTGAAGATCTTTTAGGATATTTCATCCCGCTGAAACAGCAATTTGTCTGATTCTTTCAATTAGATTTCATTCACTTAATTCTCTTCGCTTTTATCAAACGCTACGAAGTGAACGAGATTAAAAGTTGCAAGTCTCTCTCAATTTAGACACAGTTACATAAATAACACAAATAGGCCTAAAACCAGATTCAAGTGTTATTTCAAAGCTTTAGGGCCACATCCAGAAGCCAGAGAAAGAGCTTTTAATCAAGATTTAAGGGGCACGGACATACATAATGGTTACTGAGTGAGGAATTTGGCATAACAATATTTTATCTCCTAAGTGTCCTTCCAGCAAGTGTCAAGAACGCCAAGCCACAAACGCAAACGAAAAAAATCTCAGCATGAATGCCCTTCCCAATATCCGAGATATGTTAAACCTATAAAAATGTTTCTCGTTTCCTCAAGTGTTTGCAACGAGCCAAGTCCACGCTGTGCTTGTCTAGTTTGAGATAAGATACGCAACCTTTGACGAATGGTCTCGCCAGAAAGTATGCCGTGCCTTATACGCATACCTTAAATGAAATCTATTTTACTGACAAGGAACTGATTGCGACCGTATTTTGTCTTCGGAGGAGTGGGGAGGAGCGTTATAAATTTGTTGCAAATCGCTTTGGGAGTAACGCCAACTTGCTGCAGGTACGGCATAACAAATCTTATCCAAGTCTAGCTGTGCTCTGCTGATATGACCTCGTAGAAAAGCATTCTTTTTTTCCCGAATTAGGGATCGTGCAGATATCATACAGTAAAAGTTCTCGTATAGCAATTAGAAGGCAGATATATTTTCACAAAAACAACCCACCTTAGATTTCTACGCGGCTAACTGACGCTAAATGACCTACCTTACACAGATAAAAATGTTTTACAATAAAACTATTAATTTCAAGTGCACTTAGGTATATACATTTCGCTTTAAAAGCAACAGTAAAAGGTTTCCTTTTAATTCCGATACATCTTTAATAAATGTGTTGAAAGTATGGTGAAAAATTAATAATAAGGAATGATAACAGATAGACAGGTATCAGCAGACACCCTTTGCTTTTTTTAACAGGTTTGTGTTTTTGAAAGCTCACCAGTCTCCATTTATTTATTTATTTACTTTTTTAAAGTAAAATATATAGGAAAAGGGGAAAATGGCTTCTAAAGTACATACTCTATTTCAAAAGTCAGTATTTCCGGTTTTAATTGAGGATCGTTCTATGCTTGTGATGCGATTCAATTTTCTCTATCACTACCGACACAAAACTACTGGCTTTTCTTTTACCCATTCTGTTAATCATTGAACAGATAAATGTTGACGTATTCCCTTTAATAGAAAGAAATTTAGCGCTTTTGTTTATTGGCTTCTATTCATATTCTTATGTCTTGTGGGATTTCACACAATACATAAGAGTCTATAGAGAAGACTTATTTAAAGAAAAATGTCTGGCGTTAAGAAATAGCAGTATAAGAAATATAAAAATTTTAAGTAGCGGAAAGCAAAAATAAACACAAAAAATGATAAAAAATTCAAAAAGTTAACAGAGTAAAAAAATCAATGCACAGTCACAAGTTATCATGATTAATTGGTGAGGTACAATGGAACCACCACTGAATATAATAGGATAGCAAAAGAGTTTGCATCTATTACCAAAAAACAAATTGTATATACAATCAGCGTAACTGAATTATACAGCTCAAATTACATCATCTGATTAAGACTACGTCGCATACAATGGCAATTAAGTGGCTAGTAACCTAGAAGTGTTAGAAATTGATTATTTTACATCTAAAATAAAATTTTATTTATTTTTTAATTAGAAGACTTAAAAAATTACAAAACACGTCTTAATATCACAACTAGTGAAATTAAATTTTTACTCAATGGTGTTAGGTATCGCTCTCCAAAGGACATAGTAGTTTGAGTTACACTACACCTAATTGATTAGCTAGTGTCCTTTTTGTAATCTTGATGAATGATAAAATTTTACAGCAAAATATTTTAGATGACTTTTGAATTACATTACACGCTAACAAGTAGGGTCTGGTTTAAATATTTAAAAAGAGAAGAAAAACACAGAAACTTATAAATGATATAAGACTAAGTATACAAATATGTATAAATACATACGAATAATACAATAATATATGAAAAGGAAGCAGTATCTCACTAAATGCCAGAAATTCCAGCCATACAAATCGCTTGTTCTTTACTCTAGATCAAATAAAAACTAAACGTTTTGTTTAATTATTTACGTGCTTTAATTTTTTTCGTTTACTGATATAATATTAAAGACAAATTAATTAATTAATTAATTAAGTTGAATATATCCTTTAGTAAATTATCCTTCAAAGCGCGGCGAACATGCTATTACTATGTTCAGCAAATATGTAGAATGGAATGAAAAAAAAAAAAAAAAAAAAAATAGTACAGCTTTCCATTAAATCCTAGCCGTAGGTAGATGTAACAATGATAATTCTAAACATATAACATTGTTAATCTTTTAATTTATTATTTTATGCCAGTTAAAAAAATTCTTAATTTAATTTTTGTCGAATAGAAATATGTTTTGATTTACCCTAATTAAAGGAAATTTTAATTCAGTTTTAGCACATCAAAAAATGTGTTAAGTGCTATTTGCAAAAATAGCACTTAACACATTTTTAAGTGCAAAAAATGTGCTAATTTTGTTGCTTAAATTTTAATTGACACAGAAATGAGTTACGTGTTTAGGCAAATAAAATGCAATTTCATTGCTTTTGAAAAAAAGAATGTTTTTTTTAACTGCACAATCCTCATTTGCAGCAAGTAAAATACATACTGTTCATTACAGTAAATATGTATTAGGCCTACAATAAGGAGGAAGAACGCAATTTTTCGAATACCCGTATGGACTTTAATCCCACTTAATATAGGTACTCAGCGTCCTACTATATTGGGAAATTCCTGTCATTCATGATTCTCACTCACAGAATTCCGTTTTATATTTGGGCAGTGTCATTTACTTACCTATCGAACAAACAAAACCTATAATAATTATCTGTATTACACATTTATAAATCTAACATTTTCAATATCATTAAGCAGGTTCCGGCCACTTTTATAAAGAATATAGCATATGCTTTCAAACCAGTCATAAAGTTCCCCAAAAATAAACTTATGGTAAATAATGTATTTATTATTTTGTAAAAACAGATTAAATACTGTATTAATCAATTCCACTTAAACAGTATTTAAAAAAAGTCACTAAGCAAAATAAAATTACACGGATACTCTCCAAAACGAAAGGTAAGCGTTTTGTCTGTTTTAAAAACATTTTAACACATATCCAAGAAAATCAAACATGTCCGTAATATAAAATAAAGTTAGCTCACAGTTCATTATTCAAAATTACCGACATGTTTATTACTAATTTATGTTTTTCATATTTTTATCTTGCTTATTATTGACTTATTGATTATTATGACTTATGATATTATTGACTTCTGATTGATTATTATTATTATTAATTATCATAACTGATGATTATTATGACTTCTGATTGATTATCATGTTTATTATTTATTATTAACTCATTATCTAAAGTCAAACATGACTCGAAGGCTGACCTGTTAATTGCGTGTTCAACAAATTTAATAAATTCATTAAAGTTCTTCCACAGTCGGTTTATTTCAAAACATTTTCAATAAATATTTCAAAATTTTATAATAGAAATTTCCCAGAGTTTGGTTGGTTAATAAAAATGAGTTAGTAAATTGATAACTCCATACAATTATACAACATAAAAATGTGCATTTAAATGTAAACAAAAGATTAAGATTATCGTGATAAAAATAGGCAAGATTAACGGCTAAAATTCTGATGCAGTTTGATGATTTTCCCTTTTCTGCATCGCAGGACGTGTTTTGATACATGGCGAATATTTTTCTTTGTATTTTGTTTTGCGTCTATCTTTTTAATCTGTGACTAGGTTTTTAGAGAAAAAGGCCCATCCTAAATGTTATCATGTCCCTGGAAATAAGCTGTTTTTGCTTTCTGCTACCCACCGTCATTCCCTAGCTCCTAAAGATTGATGTGATCCTTGTTTCCCCATAAATAAATGTCCATTTATTTATTACTTCAATTTCGGCCGCATTATTTCTACCTAAGATGAATAGCAGACATTCCTTTTCCCCCTGCCTAGCATTATACTTTTAATATAAAAATAAGAGTGAAATATTGATGGAAATGGGTTTCTTAACCCCGGATTTTCCGTCAAAAAATTTGTCTTGTTTGTTTAAAAACAAAGTGTTTTAATTTATTATCAGCTGCCGCCTACAAGGTTAGAGAGGGAATGACTTAAATGCGTCAAAATCTAACACCAGGTACGATTTATACAGCGCTAACTTTATTAATGGCCTGCATTACAATGCCACGACACGAAATTTCTCTAACAGTGAATTATGATATCATGCTGCGCTTATGCGCTTATTTTATACTTAGCGGCAGACTGATTATTTTTGTATTATATCCACGGCTTACAAACACATTCTCGTTAAAAATTCTGGCATAGTAATAAATAACTTGACAAAACTATTTTTAAATTAATGCCACATCAGAATTTCAGACGTTATTTCGCCCAAATATTTTAAATATGAGTTAAAATGACCTTCTCATAAATTAATGCAAAATAGAACAATTTCCTGGATATGATTTAACAGCGCTGTAAGCTAAAGCTGCATTTCAATATGCTAGTTAAATTTTCATGTTACGGTCACTGTTTTGTTGCTGTATATTATCACTTGGCTACAAATAGCTATATTTAAATTACCTCCTCAAATTTGCGTGTAATCCTTTACATAGGACGTAAGGAAGATCCAAGATCTGAAAAACTTTACAAGGGAAAAAAATCAAAAAAGGAAAGTATTTAAAGGGAACTATTCATTAAAGGTCAATACAGAACGAAATTATATATTTTACGTCATCATTTTCCAGGCAGAAATATGAAAAATCAAACACCCAATTTTTTATCATTGCCCTTAGTTATTAAAATTCGACAACAATGATAATGAATAAATTTTAGAACACTTTACTTTCATATTAATTTACGTACGAGATACCTTACTTAATTTTTTCGCTTCACTGCGACTGAAATAACATGACTCGTATACATATTAATTGCACTTGTTTGGGGATTGCCTACAACTACACTTGTTACTGCACCTAATAACGGGCAAATATTTATGTTTGTTCTACCATTTAACTCTGACCTTACAATCAAGCTATCAAAGACTCATGAAATACTTTACCAAAACCCTCAAACCTTTTCCAACATGTATATTTAAAACTTTCTTATTTAAGGTTAACATAAGCGTATTGGTAGCACGATTCTTGCATTTTTTAAGGAAAGTGCAACTGCAGAAAAACTGAAAATTATTTTCATACTTGTTCGCTTATTTTATCAGTATGACAACAGCAGTTCACTTTTTAAAATTTTTAATAACCTTTTCAAATTTAATAATTAATTATGTTATATTTAAAACATATTGCTTGTTACTCCACAGATGTTTGACTGAGACCTGATGTGTGAAACAGAAATGAATTTGTATTAATTATAATTATCTCAATTTATTTTCACGTTTTCAGTAATAATTAATTTCTATTTCGCTTCATTCCAAGCTTGTATTTATATTTCCAAACAACCTGAATGAAAGTTTGCAGTCAAAAATGAATTATTTATAGTATTTTTGTAAAGCAAATATGTATGTTAATTCGAGGTATATTTTCTTTTTTTTTTCAGGGGTCCCACCAAGCAGCAGAATGAGAAATTTTAAGATGACTACAGAAATGCAGCAAGAAGAGAATTTCTCAAAATACTGTCACAAAAATGCATTGTATGTATACATTTCTGAATTAACTCAGATAAGAAAATACAATAAATGTGAGCAAATTAATATTTAATGTCTGAAATTAATTCAAAAATAACATGATAGCGACTATGAAAAGCTTCGATTAACAAAAAGAACTAATCATTTGCACTTTCATTTTTGTTTCTGATAGCTTAAACACATTCAAACCACTTACAATTAACCTTAATGAATTCGCATGTAACACTCGTAAATCTCATAAAACTACACTCTAAAATTGAACGCATATTCTTTTGTATCTGAATATTTATTTTCTTCTGTTTTTAATAACAAATCGGCTTCGAAACCTTAATTTTTATTTAGTTCCGAATAGGAAAATTTTTCAGTTCGTTTATAAACAATTTTAAATAAACCTTAGCAAAATTACTTTCTAAGAAGGGCAATAGGAGTTTTTCGCGCCTTGATAAACTAAAACAGGGGTGGGTAATAATTTTTAAAAAGGTCTTTTCAGCGTTTCATGCGGGCAGGGCAGTCGCAAGGTGTGAGGCGGCTTGTGTGACGGCCTTTTGCGGTGACAGGACGCTAATGTTTTAAAAATGTTACAGTTTAAAATAGCATTTTGTGCACTTAATTTCATATTTTTTTACTTTAAATAAGCCTAGGACGTAGGTAGGAAACACATGAAAATATCGTTGCACAGGATTTAATAACGGGCCGGATTAAGCAAACGAAAAGGGCCGCATTCGGCTTCTGCTCAAACCTGAACTAAATGCTGCGACAAAGATAACCTAGCAATTCAGTGTTCAAATTCAGCAATTCAGTAAAACAAATGTTCCAAATTTTCGTGACATTCGTGTACATATATATAAATCCTGCGCTATACAAAACGTGAAAATGCTTAAAAAGTTTTGTCTACGGACGAATAACCGTAATCACCAGAATGAATGCGAATTTACATTTAAATTTATTGTTGTTATTAAAGCTTTTCGTATTGATTAAATCATATTAATCACAAATTTCATAAACTGATGCCTGATTATTTACGTTAAATGATTCGCTGAAATGAAAACTTTTCAAGTAACAATCAACTTTCGTATCTTACTGAAACTTACTTTCGTTTCGTACTTACTTTCGTTCGTACTGGAAGAAACAGTTTCTAAAATTTAAGGACTGAATTCTGCGCAACCTGCTATATACAGGAGAGGCAATGGAATTGAAATGCAAAATTTACCTGAATTTTTTTGAAATAATTATTAGCAGCATAAAACTACAACATTAAATAAAAAGAACATAAAAATATAATAATTTTTTGAAATATTTAAATTTTAAATTGGGCTGCAAACGAAAAACTTCTTCCGTGTACTCACTTTAAGTTGCTATGCCAAAGCATAACTTCGCCATATCACAAAAGATTTCAGCTTAAATCATGCCTCCGTTGAAAACACTTTCATGGCGTAGACAGAAGCTCATAAACTGTCAGATTTCCATTGATAACTAAAACTTAGGAGCCGGGTTATAGGGGGGATTCTAGACATCTGCTCATATCCAAACAGGGGTAACTGAAAATTCATTGTGGAGTGTAACAGTAGCGGACCTATCACGACACGAACCTTATGGCTATGCCGCAGATCCGAAATGGGAAAATTCCCCAGCATTTGAAATCAATGTAAAGGTCCGAGATAAGGGGGTGCGTTCAGTTCCCTTTGATTTGCCCCGCAAGCCCCTTAACACCGCCTTCTTCACAGCTGTCAGTATCGTCAATTTTATGTCTTTATTGGCCCTATTAGATTTCCGGCAACGCTAACGAGCAGGGCCGTCCACGTTGACAATTTCACAGCAGTAGTTCTGAGTTAGATACCGTGAGAGAAAGTGAATTTAACAACTCTTTCTTTCCTTATATTTAATATTTTAAGATTTAAAATTTTAAATTTACAACTTCGGTCTGAATATTATAAAGAATTTTCTTCAGTTCCGTCAACAGGTATGTTAATTTATAGTTCAATAACTTTTAGAACTCTTATTTAATGCATGTTTATTTTTCGATCATTACTACGTAATTATTTTAATTATTAATTAAGAATGCCAATCAAAATTTAAATGCTATTCAATCGCTGAAAAATCAGAATATTTGAGTTACAGTCTAACATTCCCAATTCAAAATTATTTAATAAAAATGAAGCTTTATTCTTACGTTTGCTAGACAGTTTTTGAAAATTATAGCTATTACAAACATTTGCATATATGACTTAAGTAACATTAACTCTTCGATCTCATGTTCGCAGCTTAAGAGATACTACCTGATTTCGCTAAGTGGAATGTTCAGAAAATTACATTACTGTGGACTCAATTATACTATTTAGTTGATACTATTTTATGTGAATTTTACGTTAAATTTCTTAGAATTTTCATTATATTCCTAAAATTTTAGTAATTGTTCTAAATATTTAATGTGCCAAGTGATTCGAGAGTCTATTATTAATCCGAACTGTTGCTCGAATGTTATAGTATAATTTAGTAATAATATTATCTAAATTCCTATGCAAAATTAAACATAGAAGTTATAGCAAATGAAAAACATCTCGTATTGCCAGCAGGATGAGAAAAACAATATAACTTATCTTTTAAACAGAATTTTGATTGCAATATTCATTTACTAAATAATTTAAGAAAACAATACCGCACTAATCGACCAAATGCATGTTCTGATATTTTAAAGCCACAAAGTTCAAAACTCATTGCCGTACATAATACAGTTAAAGATGTTTCAAAATCTGATTATAGGCTTGAACATTTTATATACATGCGGAAAATAAGTACACTTTTTTTTAAGGAATTTAACACTGCGCGATATTGCAATGAAATAAATATAGGGGAAAAAATAAATAAATAAAAGTAAAATAAAATAAATAAATCAGTAGTTAAAATGTGTAAATGTTTTTGAAAGAATCGGAGTGAATAACTAATAATTCCGTCTGAAATTAATTCAAATATTTCTAGAGGCGTTAAAGCACATTTTTTGGCCCGTTTAGTAATAACCGCGTTTAATCTCCCACTACATGTTGAGACAATTACTGATGACTGACAGTATTTAAGTATGATGCTAATTAATATATGAACAATAATGAGCTTGAATGACTCTTCAGACAATATTCTGAAAACAATTTTTAGTAGCACATCTGATTAGAACTGAAAGACTAACACTCCGCAACTCTAAGAATATTATCAACATTTTGCTCAAGAAAGTTTCTTATCCGGAAGTGGCATAATTTGGCTTTAACAAATTCATCCGAAACATATTGTTAATATCCGATTGTTTCATGTTTCCCCACTGAATTTTTGGCAGTATTGCAATGCTTCAAAAGTTATTGACTACACTCTTAATATTACTAAGCTATTCATTTTAGTTCGTTGCCTCAGATTATGTATAATCAAAACAACTCTCGCTCTTCTTGCAGCGAATAAATTTATGCATGATAACTTGAAACCAAAGCTGCAATTTTAAAACAGAAAATACATTGCAATGAATTATACACGGTATATTCTCAAACAGTTTTTTTAGTGAAGTTTCTCCGATTTGAAAAAAAACAAACTATCGTATAAGAAATGGGTTTCAATTATAAGGCACACAAAGAATTTGTTACTAATGAAAGACATTAACTATCACACGATACAACAACACGCTTAAATTAAAATGTTTAACTGTAACCAGGGCAAAATAAGCTTAATCATCAATCTCAGTTTCAAATATGGCTTATAATTACGCAAAATTCAAACAAAAATTATTATTTATGGTGTTAAAAATTTGAAACATGCAGAAAGCTAAAAATTATATGTAGAAGTTTATTACCTGCAGACGCTTAAAGAGGCGCCTGTAATAATTCTAATAGTTTTCATTAATTTTAGCATTTTATTAACAGCATGTTAATCGAAAAGTAAGCGCTCTGAAGAGAAAACATGTGCACACTTTTGACATTTTCCCTTAAAGAATATCTACATCTATTTCACACGTAAATTTCCCCTAATGAATTTATCTATACTGCATGCTCACTTGTCTCATAAATCGAATTTTTAATTTATTTCCTCGCCTGGAAATTTAAGAATTGCCCCTACATATTTATTTAATAGTAATAATAGCTTTAATTATATATGCCTATTATTCTACTCATAATGTCTTCGCAATATATCTGTTAGTGGTAATCCCTTACTTTGATCAAATAAATTATTTTAAAAATCAGTTCTATTTATTTGGTAATTGATATAAATTAAATATCAGTAATAAATTAATAATTCAAATAGTAATTGAAGAAAAATTTGAAAAATGATTCGAATAATCTTTTAGCTCAAAATGAAAACATTGGAGGGAAACGATTAATAATAACAATTAAAAAAAAAAAAAGACGCTTAAAAATTGGACACTAGCCTTAGTAACAATTCTGAAAATAATTTACAATAATAATTTTGGAAAGCTAAGGAATAAAGAGGAAATGGTCTAACTTCTGTCGATACTGCACACAAAAGTACACCCATTTTACGAGACAAACAGGCTTTAATTTAGCATAAGAGTGCATGTCACATGAAGGGGAAAAAAATCAAGTGCGGACCTAGAAGAACAAATTAAAGAATATATTGAAAATATTTTTAACCACCTAAAGATTAATCTCTAATAACTATTAATTAATCAAGAATAAATACGTACGTAACATTAAAAAGATTTGATCTGTTTAATGGGAAGGATGGAGATAGAAAGAAGTATTAAAAGTTTAAAGAAAAAAAAAATGATCAAAATAAATATTAAATAAGAATATATTTTTCTTACTCAATTCGTGCATTTAGAATTACGTCATTTAACGTAATGGATATCATAAGAATTATATTATCGTAAAATTTTATTAAGATAAGAACTGCATCACCATTTTAATCATAACAAAAAACATATCTCGGGTAAAGGAACCGGTCAGTCAATGCTTTATATAACGTTAAAAGGGGCATTATATCACAAGAGCATAAACATAGTTTTAAATTAATATGCTTTAAACAATCTTCAATCCCATTCGCCGTCGAATAGCCCAGGAAGCTTAAATTTATTAAATTTTACGCTTTGAATAGGTGGATAGCCACTAATTTTATATGTGAAAGTAGATCATCAACTAAACGTGGTCACTAATTTTAAGTATAAATACAATTTCTATAAAATTTACTTAATTATTTATAAGTTTATTAGTTGTTACAACGAAGTTCTCGTACAACTTATAATGAGCAGGAATTTAGGAAGTAATTCGGGCAATAAAATCAATTCTATTAGAATAGAAACCATTAAATCCATCCTTCTCTGCCCTCCCCCTCAAATGCAATATGTTTCTATAATGCATAGAACTTAAGTCTTGTTTAAAGAGATAGGCAATATATTAAAGCTTTTTTCCTTAACATATCACAAATAGTTAAAATTAGATGATGAATTACATTTGAATGAGAAAAGCCTATATAGCAGAATTTGAAAAAGTAAAAATCTAGAACAGTTTTTTTATAAAAATAAAAGTGTACGACAGATGCAAGAACAAAATTTTTCATCAGAATGGTGTAGCGACCTGTATCTAAGGAACTTCACATAACGAATAAGAATTCCATAGGTTAACGTAATATTAATATGCATATATATCCTTGAGAAGATACTGTAATTACTTAATTATAAAATATGTGACCCGGCATATTAATCAAAACGGCTAAATTGGAATGAATACACTGTTGCTTTAAATCAAAGGTTAAGTTCGAAAATGTTTATATAAATCGTAAAACGGATAAATGTTCAAAAAGAAATTGCTCATTCCCGTGATACTCTCCATTTTACTTGAAAATATAAGAATGATTACCAAATTAAATTTGCGATGTATGCCATGAATTTTATTTAAACACCTTTACCTTTTCATGCTTTTTTTAAAACTCATTTCGTTATGACGTGTAGCCATGAATTAATGTTAAAAAATCACGACATTCAAAATGCAATATTTAAACTTATTTAAATGGAGTATCTTTCTAAGCGCGGGAACTTATTAGATGCTACTCTTTGCTTATTGCATACACGGTTAAAAGAAATCATGAATGGACCAGGCGTAAATTATGCACCGTTTGATAATTAAAGAATGTCACCTAAATCGTAATTTAAAACCTTAATTTATAATCCTGACTTGAATCGTATCAAATGCAAGCAGAAATTCCGAGAGGGAAGACGAAACATTTTCTAAAATTATATTCACGCATGGTATTAGACTAAAGAGATATTTATTTACGCATAGTTAAACTAATTTATTTTATTTCATTTATCTTTAATGCTACACAAGTTTTATATCTTGCCGATCTTTCATGGGGAAACTTCTAAATATTTTTCAATAATTTCACAATAAGAATTACGAATAAAATATTACATATATTTTAAATAAAAAAAATCCAAATGAGTATGTATTACCACTTTATTTATTATTCTAATAATTGATTTTGATAACGAAATTAATTTTAAATTGTGAGAAATTTAATATAACCTTGCAAAACACGTCAACACACCTCTAAAATTTTAATTATACAAAATACATTGCGTTAATTTCTAAATTGTTACGAACTTTATTAGCGGAAAACATAAAAACAGTTACCATTATTTCAAAATATTTTTTATATATCAATAACCGCTCTTAAACAGGACAGTTTCTCTTAGCATTATAGCGATAGTGTATTGTTGCATGGTTGGCTAGTCAGATACACATATATAAATTTGGGCTGTTAAGTATTTTGTCACAGCATCATTCCTTATATCTGAAATATATATTCCGTTTGATAATAATAGAACTACCGTCTGTGCTACAGCACTGAGAAAATAAGCACGCATTTTAAATGTTGCTTAAACAATTCCCAAATTTTATGTATACATATATATGTACATATATACATATATACATATATATGTATGTATGTATATAAGTTATAAGCAAAGAGCCATTTTCCTAACTTCCGGAGATAACAGAATCTAAAGTAAATATCCCATGAGATGCACATGCATAGTGAAGACGGTTGTCTATTGTTAAACTTCCGCCCCGTGCTCCGACAAGCAACAGATGCATGCTTTTTACCTGCATTGCATCTATTCTTTTAAAAGAATCACCGCTTTGCGAACATAATAGGATGATGTACCCCTCACTCTTCCAAAAAATCCTAAGATGAGATACTGAAATAAAATGGGGGGTTCCCTTTTTATCCGAGCGTCAAAGAGGCGTATCTTCCAAAAGTACTAGATCACGTAAATTATCGATCCCAAATGTATATTCTTTTTGTGCGTGGGTTTGCCAGGCATAAATAAGAGAACAGAGGTTGTTACGATAATGTACTTTTACCTAAACAAATATCTATTTAAAAAAAAGTTTCGCTAGAAAATAGGTTCAGTAGCTACGTTAGTGTGTAAAGGGAAAAAACATGAGCCCAGATGGTATATTTCCAGGAATTGCTAAACATATGAAATTATTGTCGGTTATAACTTTTCCGGTGGCAGCGGGCGGTGTGAGTAGTACCAAGCAGATTTAAACAGCATAGAATGCGTTTTGGATGGCAGAAGTTTAGTTCCGCTTTTGCTCACGTAGAAGTTCCGCTAAATAATCAGGATCCTGGAATTTATATGGACTATTTACCGTTTCTGCGCTCACGTGAAAGAGAAAACGTAGGGAGGTAAATGTATTTTCTGTCATTTTATAAAAACATTTATATTTGTCATTTACGTTAACTTTCCTATTTCTTTTATGCAGAATGATACATAGAAATTCATACCGAAATAGTCGATAATCCAATGTCTTGAAGACTGATCCCCTAAAACTCAAACACTAACACAGCAGCCATTTTTTGTTGGTATGGCTGTAAGCCATTATGCAAAAAATTCTGTATCGTTGCATTTTAAGTGGTATTTACCAGAACTGCATAGCTTAAGCTACTACATTCACAGCAACAAATCTCAATAGGATTCCCTAATTCAAAACTCCTGTTATAGCCATATTAATACACTAATGGAAGCACTGATTGGTACTCATCAAACCACTAAAATGATTTTTATTAATATCACATTATAATTGCTAAGTTTTTTCATTTATTTATTGCGTTCTTAAATCAGGTTTTGAAGTTAAAGGTTATTATTTGCAGTGCTGCATAAAAATTACTCCTGTTAACGAATTAACATTCACAGTGTTTCTGTAATGCGACAGATATGTTTTAGCTCTAAAGAGTAAGCTCCTCTTAAATCATTGATTATAACCTTCAAAAGATATTCTTGGTATTTTCAATACCTTTTCCTTTTATGAATAAAGTGTTACAGCATTCAACAACAGGAATATAAAATACAATTCAATCTATTTTCAACCTATACCAGATGTGTATCTACTGAAAGCTAAAATATTTTTTCAGTGTGTTAATATGATATCTTACGAATATTGTGTTTTTCGTAAATCTAATTATACTTAAAAACTGTAGCGTTTTTTCTTACGATGGCTATACAACTCATTAAATAATTTCTTTTAAAATGGGAAGGTAATTTTTATGACAGGGAATGGTTAAAAGAATAATCTTTAACTTTGATTGATTTTCAGTTGTTGGTTTTTATAAACTGAGCAAAAGCGTTGAATTTAAAAGAAAGGACATTGAGTACTCACATTCAGACGTTAAAAAGAGGACAAAAACGGTTATAAATTGCCTCTAAACGTGACAGAAGGAAAATTACATAGGCGTTTATTAGCAAGTCATTAACAACACAGAAGCAATTAGGAGCCATACCATTTTAAATAAAATGCAAAATTTTAATTTAAATAACATTTTATTAGTATTTACATAAAACATTCATTAAAAAACTCAGACAGAAATGTTTTTTACGTGTTTAATTTTTTACAGTATTTAAAGGTTATTTAATTGCCCCACCGGAATCGAAGCATTTAATAAAACGTTCAGTCGTAAAATGTTTAAAACATTTATCACAACAAATGATAATTTTTCTCCGTTTGATAATATTTTTAGTATTAATAAGCTGTAGCGTTTTTTTTCGGGGGGGGATGAATACAATACTTCACATCCCATTTGATCCTTCACACAATATATTAAATACACTAGCTGAATTTTTTCGTGTAACAGTTTACATGGCTATTATTATAGTAAACAATTGCTTTTCATATCGAAGTGCCATGAAGCCGCATTTAGCAATATTTTACGGCTGTGAAATTCTGATTAGAAGGCTGCCCGTTATATACCAGTACCATATTCGTTCTCGAATAAACTGGAACGTCAGCAGCTGATAGAATTAAATTCACTAATTAAATTATCTTTATGTTACTAAAATTTGGAATTATTTGCATATTAAAATTTTATGCATAGTAATACGAAACATTTAAATGCAGCTAGGTTTAACATCTTCGTATATAACAGCATGCTAATTTAATTAAAGATAATATAAGTAAAAATTATATACAAACAATTGTCTGCGAGATCTGCTTTTCTAAGAAAAGATTTTTAAAATAACTTTTCACGATAACTTCATTAAAACATTTATTAGGATTATTAAGGAACTACTTACAGCAAAAAATGAGAGGCTCTGAAATTTACTTGCCATGTAAAAATGATTATATAATTTAAAAGGAACCTAACGCCTTGCGGCAAAAGCTAGATAAAAATATCAACATCGAAAAGAGACTAACAGATAAAAACCAAAAAAAGGGGGGGGGAAGAAACTTCAGTGAAGTATCTCATGCCCTACGGACCACATACTACTATCAGCACTCAAGATGTTAAGAAAAAGAAACGGAGAATCACAAAAAAGCCACTTAAGCCCTTTCTTAACATTCATTCTTTCTCCTTAATCTTATTTTCTTTTATTTCCTAGTGGGAAACAAAAGCGTAAAAATACACGGCAAGTGATGATACTGAGGTTACATCAGAGGACTAATATTTTTTTTTAATCGCTAAAACAATAGGACTTTTTTATATCTTTTCTTTTACTGAAAACTTATTATACAATAGTTGTAAATATATGTCTCAAGTTCGATTAAAATAAATCTGCTTTTTAATTGACAACAACATACGGTTGCACTTATTCCCTTACTGGAAGGACACACAGATTTAAAGGAGGGATACGACATTAGCAGCTTAAAAAATAACTCGAAATTAAAATACAAATATGTCTATGTATATATTGTTCTCTGCTATTTAAAAATAATTTAAGGGATATCCTTTTCAAAATAAAATATTCTTTACATTAACAGCAAGAAAAAGTATCGCAGTAAACCGGAATTCGATTGAATGATATTGAGAAAATTTCATACTGAATTTTTAAAAAAAATTATTTCGCATGCATTTTTTTTTTTTTTTTTTTTTTTTTTTTTTTTTGGGCCAGATAAAATGCAGTTAAACACAAACGACAAACAGAGTTTCCAGATTTAAAAACAATTTCTACAGGAGCTCCAAAAAAAAATGCTTTATTGATTCTCAGTGATATTACATCACACTCTGTACTTCTACTACCATTCTACTTTTTATCACATTTGATATTAATAACGCTCTGATGGTCTTTAAGTAGAATTTCTTATATGATACTATCTTCCAATGACACTAAGCTTTAAAAACGATACTGTACTTCTAATGATACCTTGAGTCAACTACACTGTCTTTATATAACTTTACTTAAAATAAGAAAAGTAAAATAACACTGTGATTGTTAAAAACACTGTGATCAGTTAAAAAATAATTAAAAAGAAAAACTTAACCAACCTATATTTCGATACATTTTGTCAATAATTTAATTTTACAAAATTACTCCGGTCTATGCATGAAAACAAAAGTAGAGTTCATCCAATTTTCATTTTCCTTTCAGAAATACTTTTACAGTAACTTCAGATGTGAACTTTCTAATCCGAATTTTCTCGTCGAACCAAAATACCGCTGCTAACTTATACATCCGATGGACATTCTCTACAATTCCAAAACTTTTTCAGTACCGTACCTATCACCAAATGATTTCTACAAACTGTTGTCATATAATACTTTCATTTTATAAAATTGTTCGCAAATGATATACTCCTCGTTGTTTCGAGATATTCTTTACTAATTAAGAATAAAAAGACCGTTCAGGGGCTATTGATAATATTTAGTAATGAGATCAAAGCGCTGTATAACAGTATGCAAAGACATACATAATAATAGCACTCGAAATTCAAATTATAGAAGTCATATGCAAGGGAGTTAAGTAAGTACAAGATTACACAAAAAACTACACTACATTAATTAATACATTGCCTTTGTCACTTTAATTTTTAATAACTGGAAACTTTAAATGATACGCAATAAAAAGTATATAATTTAAAATATTTGTGTTGCACAAGCATTTTTAAACATCATTTCAGACGCTATCGCACTATTCGTCATCCCTTCCAATATCCTTAGTAGCCCTGAAGGTTCATGTACCATCGGATGGCAATTACTTGATTGTTCCAGAAAAACTTTTTTTTAAACTAAAACAATAAATATAACGCCCAAAACATGTTATTAAAAGGTGTAAAAGGATCTTGTAGATTTTGTAACCCAATTAGTTAAATAACTAAATTTTATCAAAAATAGTTTAGGCTAAAACGCATAAAAATGTTTTTTTTTTAATAATTTTCTCAAAACAAACTTTATCTCTCAACAGTTCAGAAAGTTCCAAAATAAATTTCATATATTTTCATGAGAGCTCGCAAAAGTCAGCATCTAATACACCGAAATGCCATTTATAGCAAATGAACGGAAAAACATCTAGTATTTAGGGAATCTTTAACTATTTTTCTAAATTGAATCATCACATTTTCTAAATCAAGTTCCAATTTTGTAACAGAAATATTTTGCTAAATTTAGAACTCGGATGTATGACCGACGAAGTGATAGCACACATAGGAATTTCTCGTATGCCTAAAAAGCTAGAAGTTGCTGATTTGGCAAATCCAATAATAATAATAATCTCCTCGTTCAATCCGCCATCAAGTTAGGAACCGGTAATACGCTAATAAAAGAACTTGAAAATTTTTCTGAAGTTCATTTTCACATAATGTTTTCAAGATTATTTCGAAAAATTTATTTCACGGCAGAGAAAATGTATTCTATCGTGCAAATAACTTAACGAAAATGTAAACGAAAGAATTTTAAAATATCTTATCACGACCCCTTAAATTTTTACAAGAACCAGATCCGAGTTACACTCGCGTAAACATAGAAATAGCAAAGCAAATTCTCCATTTAATTATTAAAAAAGTAAAAGTTACTAAGCATAAAAAATGCATTCAGTATTACAACATTATGGCCAAGTTTTTATTACCTATTCGCACTGTTCACGTTTGGTATTCATAAATTTATAATTTAAGCGAAACATAATTCTGTTTCGGCTTATGATATGTAGTTTAAAGGAAGACGAGCTGAAAGTGTTAAATGTAGGTACCAGCTGCTTCATCAGTTCAAAGCAAATATCATGAAGTATATATATATAAGAGTGTGCTTGTGAAACATCTCTGCGTATTAAGTAATTTCAATCAATACTGCCGTTTCTATACTTAGTACAAGCACTGGGAGTTAAATAAATAGATAAAACAAAATAAGGTATTAAAAAATAAGAAGCTTCAATGGCAGCTGATCGCTTGCTGTTTCTTTATGCATTTCTTTGCATAATAAAG